TTTTTGAGTTTTCAAATAAATAAATAGAGAACATAACAAATTAATGTGTACTAAGTGTATTTAAGAACAATTTTGTTACATTTTTAGGTCGAATTCTTTATCCTGTGACTGAAATGATCTGTATGAATTTTTGTATGAAACACAATCAACATGCTTGAATAAGTGAAGACTTTGCTTGGTGCTAAAATTATTATAATTATTGCAAAGACATTTAAACAATAGAATATTTCGTAAGGAAATAGAAAAAGGCTATTACTACCAGTATATATATTTTTTGTTTATTTTTACTTAATACGTGGAGAACCTTATAAATTTTAGTTAAAAAAAATATTTCTAAATTTAATAACTTTCCTAAAAAAGGTTCTCGCTCTTTTGATCTAAAATTATGACCAAACAAATGACTTTTTTAAATTTTATTTAAAACAATTTGAAGTAAACTGACTGAGCAAAACTCTAAAGAAGTCCAAAAAGACACTTTATAAATTTAAATTATGTAACAAAAAAAAATCTCTAAGAATTCTTTTTTAAGTAGAAGCAGAAGAGGTTTTATTAAACAAAAAAAAATTTATGTTAATGCAAAATCATATTGTAAATGTTGATTGTATTCAAAAAGCTAAAACGAAGCTTGATAATCTTTATACTTTTTACTAAAAGATATATAATAATGAAAGAATGTTTCAAATTAAATATTTTTATAAGTATTTTTAAATAAAAAAATTTTTTTAATTTTTTTTTTAAGTTAGTTTCTTTATTTTATCTTAAGAAAATTTTTTGTTTGTTTCTCAGATAAAATCAGTTGATTTTTTTCATATTTATTTTTTCTTATTTTCCATAAATAGCCAATATATATATCCATTCAAAACAATAATTCCCAAAACAAAAAGACTTTGGAATTATTGTTTTGAATGGATATATATTGACTATTTTTTAGGGATGTACCGAAGCTTCGGCTTCGGCTTCGGCAATTTTGCCGAAGCTTCGGTTCGGCCGAAGCCAGGTCAATTTTTTGCCGAATCTTTGGCTTCGGCAAAAAATTTTAATTAATTAAAGTTATAAGCTACTGTGGGACAAGTTATAAAAATAAGCTAATTGCCAGTGTCTAATAAAGTTATAAATTTAGAACTACAGAGTTAAAGTTGGAGTCTATACCATATACTTAGTATTATTTACTCCCAAGTGTCTTGTTATGGAGGGGATAATAATAAATAAGTAAAAATATTTTGAAAAAAATAATAAAATTAAGGAAGGTCCTCAAACACTTTGAAAGCTTCCAAGTGTGACTTTAGATGAACTGAAGCAGCATTTCTATGCAGAATAAAAACCTTATAATTTAAAACAAATTAAAAGTTTTTAAAACCTTAATAACGAATTCATATTAATTATTGTGTGGGATTACCGCAAATAGAACAAAATTTGGTTTCAACATTTGACCGATAAACCTTAGTAATCTCTCTTTGAAGAAGATTAAAGATACGTTGCTACTATTTTAAATTGTGTGTATGTTTAATTTTTTAAAATTTTATTTAACCATATTAATAAAAATTTACAAATTTTCATCGTAAATTTACAGAAATTGGCTAGGTGTCACTTATATAGATACAAAATAGTCAATGAAGTGACACATAAAAAACAAAAAGTTCTCAACAACAAAAAAGGAAGAAAAGCAAATGAAATATAAACGAGGAGAATAAAAAAAGAAAATAAAAAGCCAACAAAAACTAGATAAATTAAAAGAAAAAGAAAAACAATGATAATAACTATCCTTGCTCTTTTATTAATATTATGAATACTTCTAAATTGAATTTATATATTAAACATGTAAACCAATATTCTGGTTTCTTCTTATGTTATTATGAAGACTTTTAAATTTTATTTAAAATAAATTAAAGGTTGAAGCTTTGATTACTTTGAACTCTTATATTTATCATCAAAATTTATTTAAATTAAATAAACAATTTAAATCAAATAAATATCAGCCTGCTCAGTCCCTGTTTATTTATAAATATAAAGTAAATAATAATATAATTATTAATAAAAAATTTATAAAGTATTCTATTTATTATTTTATTTAAAGCTCACTCTACAGAGTTGTTAGATTACTTTGGAAGTTTTTATCACAGATAGTTAATATTTGATTTCAGATACTGATGCAGATTTATCCATTATAGAGACAGAAGAAGAATGAATACTAAGATTTCAAAGTATAAAAGATTAAAAAAAGCTATAGAAAATGTTATGTAGTGTTAAGTTGAAAATAATCAAAAAAAAAAATACTTAAAAGTGTGTAAAAAAGAAGTTAGAGAGAAATCTATCATTTGTACTTTTTTTTAACAGCAGGAGCACAACAGTTGTAGTGGAATCCAAAATGGTCTTAACTTGGGTTTTTTTTAGTTTAGAAATTGTTCGTTTAAAGAATACAGAGAAGTAAAAAAAAGATATTGAAATAAATAGCAATAAAAAGATAAAGTGTGTTTCTAAGATTTTTTATGTTGTAGATACAACTAGATCAGTTAAGAGTGTTTATTTAAAGAAAGAGTGATCAAGTGCAAAAGATAATTTTACTCTAGTAATGTTCAGAGATTTTTATCCACTTCTATTTAACAAAAGGTGCATTAAAAATAAAAATAAAATATACAGCACATGAAAAAATGCTATATAACATTAATATGGTTTGCACACAGAATAAGTAGAACTAGAAGTAGGAAAATTTGGGGAGAATGTTTCAAAAAAGCTTAAGTTTAAAAAAAAAGCGCTCGATGCGGTCAAGTATCAGAAACGACATAATGAGAAACTTTTAAACAGGGGCGCTGAGAGCTTTTGCCCTGCCTGGAACAGCAACCCTGACTGGCGTCCTCATTTTGATACAATTTTTCTATATTATTAGTCAAGGACCTTAGTTTTGGTACCTATTTTGTTTTACACCCCTGCTGATCTGAATGCTGATTAAATTTTAAGCATATATAGTGCCGAAGCTTCGGCTTCGGCAAAGTGGCTTCGGCCGAAGCTTCGGCTTCGGCAAAATTTTAGCTTCGGTACATCCCTACTATTTTTGCTTCGTTTATTATATTGTCGTTATCTTTTTATGTGGGAATGGAAACCATTTATACTTTTAAAACTTTTTGTACGATCAAGACGGTTTCCCTTTCCATTAAGTATCAATCGCACAAACAACAGGTTTAAATATTTATTTGCCTAATTCCGTAATTAAAACAATTTAATTGTATGAACTAACTTGTTAAGAGTTTTTTCACGGAAATTTTTATAAAAATATATCAAACAGATAAAGCTAACTAAAACTAGGTCTCTAAGGCCCTTTTTCAATGTCCTAATTTGCTTTTTAAATAAATCCTTATGAGAGAGTATAATATTATCGTAGCCTAAGTTTCGCGCAACTGTCTTATATGCTAAAGATTTTTAAAAAAATCTTTAGCATATAAGAAAACTTTTATTATGTAGAAAATAGTTTTTCTACATAATAAAACTTTTAAAAGAAAACTTTTATTATGTAGAAAATAGTAAAGTTAACAAGTAATAATGTAATAAGTAAAAATACTAGTTAGTATTGTAGAACAGCAAATTAAAAATCAAGAACTTTAATATATCAGTAAAAATTCAAACTGTACTTTTTAGCGAACCAAGACAATTTAATGACCACAACAGTCATGTTATTAAAAACATTTGCTCAATGATCTTTTAAATTAAATATATTGATATTTGATATGTTTTATTTAAATTAAACTTCTCTTTTAAATAAATTATAAATTAACGAGCGATAGATTTATGGTTCGCAGTTTTACCATTTTTTAAAATTTATAATATTTTAAAGTTCGCATTTTACCATCTACCAGAACTTTAAGTTGATTTATTTTTTGCCGTTTACTAAAATAGATTAAAGTATAAAGACTAAGGAACAAGTTTAGAAATTGTTGCGTGTAGATTAGACTGCCACGACCCGTATCGAACGGATCATACCAGCTAGCTTTAATTAATAAAGTATGGTGGTGATTATATATATATATATATATATATATATATATATATATATATATATATATATATATATATATATATATATATATATATATATATATATATGTATATATATATATATATATGTATGTATAAATACTTGTATAATTATGTTTGTTCCGAATGTCTTGCGACGTGTTCATTCACCTGTAAGTTACTAAAGTATGGTATGTTTATTTTGAATTAAATGTTTGTGTTCTGTGTAAAAATCTAGCGCGGTTTTGCTTTACCCTTAAATACTTTATATCTTTTTTTTTGTGTTTTGTCTGTAGCTTTAGTACGGTGTTTACTCACCCGTAAGTTACTTTATGCATGTTTGTGTCCTGTTTAAATGTGTAAATGTTTTTTTCAATTATTATTTTTGATGCAATGTTAAACCAGCCAGAGTTAGGCTACAATATATAATATTTTATTCTAGAGCTTCTAACATATGCTTTAATTAAAAGTGTACCAGTAAAAAAACGTTTATATGTTTTTCTAATGGAAAAAATTTTTGTGGAAAAAATTTATTTTTTTAAGTATTCTAATTTTTTTTTGCTGAATCAAAAAAATGTTGTTTAAAACATTTCACAAACTTTTAATAGAAAATCATCATATCACCATTATATGATCATCAAATTTTTCAATGCCTTAACTTTCATTATCATCATGATGATCATGATGATCATCATGATGATCATGATCATCATGATGATCATCATGATGATCATCATGATGATCATGATGATCATCATGATCATCATGATGATCATAATGATCATCATGATGGTCATGATAATCATCATGATGATCATGGTCATCATCATGATCATCATCATGATCATCATGATGATCATTATCATGTTAATTATCATGATGATGATCATCATTATCATCATCATCATCATCGTCATCATCATCTTCGTTGTCATTGTCCTTGTCACTATAATTAATATCATCATTATCATCATCATCAAATGAAATAAACTTACTTAGACGTCCTTTTCCTCCAACCAAACAAAACCTTTGAGTAGATTGTTTGTAAGTTTTGTTATTAGAAAACTTTACTTCAACATCAAGAAAGAATGATTTTCTTTGATCATCATTGCAATTTTTATCCAATTCGAAAACTTTAAAATTATCTACCACATACACAGAGTTCAAATCGATTTTTATGCAAACCTACAAGCAAAACTGTATAACAGTCCTAAAGTTTTTAAGTTTTAAAAGTTTAAAAAGTAAAATATAAAAAAATGTCAAATACTAAATTACATAATAAATAATAAAAATAAAACAGTTTTTTTGGACTTCCTAACTTTTACTTTTATTTATAGTTTTCGTTTCACTTACATGTATTAACGTTTTTCTCTGTGATTATATATTTTACAGTTATGAAAAAAAAAAAGCAGTACATTAAAAAAAAAAAAATAGTAACAAATAAAAAATTATTTAACTGACAAAATTACAAAAAAAAAAGCAATATAACAAACAATCTTGATGTTGAGTGGCAAGTAATTGAATAAGAGAAATTAAAAAAAAACCAATAAAATAATAAATATGCTTTAAAATATCAATGATAAACAAAAAGATAGACCCCAGTGAAAAGAAGACGTCAAGCCGTTGTTGTAAATTGGTTGGATTATGGTCGCGATGCAAGTTAACTAAATTCCAACGATGTTTCATCGTCGAGATAACGGTGTTCTTCTTACGTGTGTTTATCAAACTTTGGAAAAATGTCGAAAAAACGTTATTATCTAGCGTCTTCAATGTTAGCATTAAAACGACGTTAGGACAACGTTGGTTGTTTAACGTAAAACTAACGTTAGTGTGATTAAAGTTAGAACGACATGGGATCAACGTTGCTTTTTTTACGTTTTTACTTTTAACATCAAAACAACGCCAGCATTCCAACATAAACAAAACTTGATTTTACAAAACATTATAAACTTGCTCATTTTAAAATGGTTGAAAAACTGTTCTCAAAAAAAATTTTTATTTTCATTTGGTTTTTAAGCATTATAATCTGTAATACTAATACTTATTACATTATTTCTTTATAATTTACAGTTGAATTATATATCAAATATTTTTATTGTTATAATGATAAATAAAAGTTACTAAAACTTTATTTGATTTTTAAAAATTGATTAAGTTTTTGTTATTTTTTTATATACTTTATATAGTTTATATACTTTATATATTATTTATATTCTATATATATATATTAACATTACTTATATAGTAAAAAGTTCTAACGTATTTGATGTTTCACATAATATTTTATTTACAAATAACTAATGCAATGATGGGTTTTTTAAATACCCAATTTTAAAGTATTTAATAGTTTAACTAATTAGCAACAAAAATACATTGTTTGTCAAGACATTAATTTAGCTATTTTAATTCATAATATTTTTTAATTAATTATTTTGAAAGTTTTTGTTATTTTTACTTTGTTATGGAACTAGTTCTAGGCTAAAAATCACTTTATATGCTTTCTTATTACTTGTTTAACGTGTTTCTTTTATGAATTTGTATTTCATTTTTTTATTCAAATATTAGTATTTTATTTTTTTTGCAATTTATTGGAAAATAAGGAATACAATTAGAGAATTTGTGTTGTTATCTCTTTTGTATTTTTTTTTTCCTTTTTTATATTTATATAACAGTGCTTTTAGTAATTATATTTTTTAGAAAAAGTAACATTTATTACTCAATGTAAAGATAATAATTTGCTTTCTTATACAATGCATAGTTATATAGTGTAGTTAATCTTAAGTTTTTAATTACTTTGTAATTTAACTGGTACAAATATATAAACAGTTAAAAAAAAAATTGATTTGTATAATTTCAAATTCTTAAAATTAAATATACTGATGAATTCTTTATGATATGCTTTTCCTACAATATTATAACTCACATTCATAAATTCAAGTCTCAATATTAAAACACTTTTATTTGTTTATTTTTTATTGTTATTTCCCTCCGCATTACAACCAGGGATGTGGTAGGGATTAAACACATAATAATAAAAAAAAAGTTTTACCATTACACCACTACTGAAAAATTAAGTGTTCATTTTCTTTTATCAGTTTTTTAATTATTCAATTATTATTAGTTATTTTTTCTGTACGTTTCATTCAGTACTAAAATTAAAATTGATTTTAGAAGTAGAAAAACGTATCAGAAACGCACAAAAACAGCAACAGAATATCTAAATTTTACACCAGAACTTAGTCATAATAAACAAAATATTGATTTAAATCATTTACACACTCAGTCAAATTTAATTTTTAAAATAAATCACAATCTCACTTTTCTGTAATTTCAGAGTTGAAAAAAAGAGCCATTTTTGACTTTATTTGTAACAATTAAAAACAACTTTTATCTTTTTTTTAGTTTTAATTTACCTCTTCGGTGAATTAACATTAAAAAATAGAATTCTTTTTTTTTTAAATTGTGGTTATAATCCCCTTCTAACTCTTTAACTCCGAAACACGAAAATATGTAAATAATATGTATTTTAATGTTAAAATACATTTGTGTATAGTTTTTGTACGCGATATGCGATATGATATAGTTTTTAAATGTGATGTGTTATACCAAAATAATTTACATATATATATGTATATATATGTATACGTATATATACATATATATATATATATATATATATATATATATATATATATATATATATATATATATATATATATATATATATATATATATATATATATATATATATATATATATATATATGTATATATATATATATATATATATATATATATATATATATATATATATATATATATATATATATATATATATATATATATATATATATATATATATATATATATGTATATATTAGGGTGATCCAAAAATGACCAAAATTTTTTTTTTTTACTTTTTGTTATTTCTAAGGTCTTTATGTGTTCATTTATTAAAGAAACATTGTACCAAAAAAATCAGCCAAATCGGTTAATATTTAGAGGTCGCGCTGGGGCGATTTTTATACCCCTCTAAAATTGGAATTTTCAAAAGTTCAGTAAAATATTGACATTCGTTTTCTGTGCACATTTCGGTTATTTACCGTTCGATTTTAATAAAATAAAAACGAAAATAAAGCTCTTATTACGCATAATAATTTTTTTGAAACAACATTTCCTTCATTAAAATGCATATTAAGCGGCAAAATAAATTGCAAACTAAGCCAAATTTCATTATATTTTATTATATTGGTTTATTATATGGTTTAGTTCAGTTCCAAACTTTATCGAGAGTGTTGTGATTCCTGAAATAAAATTACAATAGTTTATCTATTTGCTTGACTAATAATATTAATTACAGTATTTTAAGAAAGTGATATAATTGCGAGTTTCAACGAAACTAATTTTGTTTGGAAATATAAGTGACAACAAAATATATTTTCATTCATACACTGTATTGGAGAAAATTTAAAATGGCTGCAGTCGCAAAGTCAACACGTAGTTCTACAGCAAAATGGTTAATTGGTCAACCAATATCAATGCTTTCCCATCTTAAACTCCCAACGATTTTGGAAGTATTAAAATGTTTTTTCTTCCACCATGAGGTGAAAGGATTAAGTAAACATGAAAGTTCGGTAACAGTTATCAAATTAACTTGTGAAAATTGGGAAAAAGCTAAAATTCCTACAATTCGAAAGGATAATGCAGTTACAAGGCTTGAAAAATTTCATAAAGAATATACGGATCTATTAAAAGACAGAAATAAGAAATCAGCTGTTGCTAGAAGCAAAGTAACAGACTTTGAAAAGAGAATTATGAAACTTTTTGATATTGCTTCAACTAATGTTTTTGATTTAATAAAAATTGCTGAAGATAGCGATTTCCTCATAGATCAACGAGATGATAGAAACATGGTCTTGGGTTCCATTGATAAAGATGATGCAGAGAAAGAAGAAAATAAAGTTTGCAGAGAGATAAATTTGGATAAACGTTTGCAAGAAGAAGCGTTAAGGAAACAACGCTCTGAAGAAGTAGTTGTTCTTGAGAATTCACCTTCGCCTTCAAGTTCTGCTAGTAGCGATCATGATGATATCGTAGTTTTGAAAGGAAAAGACGATGTTGCAGAAAGCTCCGATCTGAAAAGGAAGCGTTTTTAAAAAAAAATTATTACCCCTGAAGTTGTCGCTTTTTTAGATAGAGGAAAAGTAAGCAATGGTGTTGCAATGCGAACTATAGCAGCTTCAATGCAAAGTTTAGGAGCTCCCATTTAAGATTTCTCTATATCTGTTACTACTTTTCATAGGGCAAGAACTGTTTATCGCGAAACTCATTACAATGAAACAAAAGAAAATTTCAAACCGGATGTACCTCTCGTAGTTCATTGGGATGGAAAAATGATGGCAGACATCGCTGGAAGTGGACATGTTGAGCGTTTGTCAGTTTTAGTAACAGGGCGTGTTGTTGAAAAACTTCTGGGATTGCCAAAACTTTCTGATTCAAAAGGAGAAGCCATTGCTTCTGCAGTTGTAGCCTCCCTCCATGAATGGGACGCTTCGAACCTTATTAATAATCTCTGTGGCATGTCGTTTGATACCACAGCTAGCAATACAGGATCTTGTAAGGTGCTTGTCATTTACTTGAAGAAAAATTAGGAAAAGAATTATTGAATTTAGCTTGTCCTTATCACATTACTGAAACTGTTGCAGGATCTGTGTTTAAAATTTATTTTCTAACAACGTCCGGACCAGATGTTGCTATTTTCAAACGATTTAAACAAGCCTGGAAGAATATCAAGAAATATGATTTTAGCCCAACAGTGCAAGATGAAGAAGCTGAAAGATATCTTTCAAACGTCTCGATTGAAAAAAAATCGTCTAAAATTAATTACTTAAAAAATGTTTGCAAGACTCACAACCACGAGATGATTATAAAGAACTTCTTGAATTATGTCTAATATATTTAGGAGAGCAACCTCCTAGTGAACTAAGATTTAAAGCACTTGGAGCCTTTCATCATGCTCGGTGGATGGCAAAACTTATTTATTCAATTAAAATATGGTTATTTAGAGATCAGTTTAAAATGGTGCAACATGAATTAAATGCAGTAAGAAATATTAGCATGTTTGCTGCGTTAATATATGTTCGACAGTGGTTTACTGCACCACTCAGTGCCTCGGCCCCATTTAAT